ATCTTCACACAGCCTTCCCCTCCCTCCCTCCCTCCCTCCCTCTCTCTCTCTCTCTCTCTCTCTCTCTCTCTCTCTCTCTCTCCCCTCTCTTCCTTATGGGGACACCAGTCACTGGAGTTAAAGCCACCCTACTCTAGGATGATCTCATCTTGAGGTCTTCCCTTGATTAAATCTGCAAAGACCCTGTGTCCAAATAAGGTCGCACTCTGGGGTAGATATGAAGTTGAAGGGACAGTGTTTAACCAGCACAAATTCCTTGGGCATGGAGCTGCTGTGTTCCTAGATTAACCCGATCTCAGATGAGCATCTGATAAGTGATCAGTAGGTTTATGTGGAATGAGTGACATCATCTCCGTTCCTGACTGAGAGTTTCATGAGTGTCACTTGCAGTGTGTATTTCACACCCGGGTAATTCTGTGTCATTGCTGAGCTCTGCCACCTTTGCCCCTGTATACACCCTCTATGGCACAGGTGCACAAGCAAAGAGAGCTGCAGAGGCTGAACAGCATCCCCTTGAGAGGAGAGGGCTCTGGTACAGGATCTGGGAGCCAGCCTGCGTGTGCTCCAGCTTGGGGCTCTGCCTGGGAGACTGCAGCTGAGGGGGACTCTGGCCCTTCTCCTCCCAGAGATCCAGGCTCCTGCAGGAACTTTGAGAAGGGTTGGAAAGTCTCACCAAGGGATTGTTCTGGGAAAGGAGAGAAGGGAGCACCTGCCAGGGGAGAGGGAGCTGAGAAAGCCTTCTGGATGACTTCAGTAACGTGCATTGAGGAGCAAGACCCCCGGAGCTTGCCGAGGGCAGAGGACATTCACTGTCAGAGGGGACATTAGCCTGGAAAGAGTAGAAGCCCTGGACTGCCATGGGGCCAATGTGGGTGAGGATGAGTGACAACCTGCTCCACAGAGAACCACCAGCAGTGACGATTGGTGGATAATAGCAGTGACGATAGGTGATGGCAATGATAGTCTTCCTGCTAGCAAGACTTGAGAAGGTGGTGTGGAATGCTCGGCATGTCACCCACACAGGGAACCCATGAGGGCAGGCCTCTGGTTATCCCAACACAGTGAGAATTTGTGATTTGAGCTACGGGTCTCCATGACCCCTCAACCAGAGGCAATTGTCACTGGCAGACAAAGGAGGTGAGATGGGCAGGCACAATCGGGTGGAGAGAGAAATGAGGAAGACAGAGGTGACAGATGTGTTCCAGTCATTGGTCCCTCTGGCTGGTTCTCTCTAGCTCACTAATGCTTCTTTCAGGTGTGAGATGACCTCCCCTGAGTCCAGCCAAATCGTCCATTTTTGGGGGTGGGATTCTGAGTCTGCCTAGCACTGCACTGACCTTGGTGCTAAAACAATACCTAGCAACCAGCTAGCAGGCAGGGTTGAGGGCAAGTCTGTGATACTGAAATGAACTTTGTCCCAAGTTAAGTACTGAAAATCTGTTCTCAACAGTAGCTTGAGTTCATCAATGATGTACATACGTGTGTGAAAAATGTATGTTCACAAATTTTTTTCAAACTTAAACCGCAGATTTTGAGTTCCTTGAACTCCTTAGCAGATGACATACTATCCAGGTTGATCTGCCCAACTTGACAGTCTTATTTATATATCATCATGTGTCACTCCTGTCCCCCTCAGGTGCTCATTCCAATTTGATCAAAGAGTATCCTTGGGGCTGGAGTTGTGGCTCAGTGGTAGAGCACTTGGCTGGCATGTGTGAGGCCCTGGGGTCAATCCTCAACACCACATACAAATAAATAAATAAAATAAAAGATCCATTTACAATTAAAAAGAAGAGTATCCTTCTATTTGTGTGAATTCTCATAAAATGTATACATTTCACATGCATGCTTCAGCTGTGGCCCATTCCTCTTTGCTGGAGATCTCAGCCTTGTTCTCCCAGAACTGTTTGGAGTCATCCGTGTTGCTGTGTCCACGTCAGGGTTGTGCTTCCTAAGGCTGCCTAGATCTTCACCGTGTGCACTCATCCTGGTTTGACTCCCCACTTCTCCAGTTAGTGGGGATCACTCAGACTGCCCTGACTTTCTTGCCATCCCAGATGATGCTACACTGAACGTCCTCAATCACAACCCCTCACCTGGGAGAAAGAAGGTCCTTCAGGTGGAGATCCAGGAGTAGTTTCTGGGACTTGGGGTAAGTGTTCTCCTAATTTGGACATGAACAGCCAGGTACCTACTGGAATGGCTGCATCCTATCTATCTTTATTTTTTTAATTGACAAACTATTTATACATGGTTATGTGGTAGAGTATGAGACTTTGACATATATATAGTGTGTGATGATAAAATTAGCATTCTCATCTCCTCAAAACCTTACTACTGCTGTGTGTTGAGAACCTTCTGTCTTTTTCTTTTCTCACTTTACTGGTTTAAGTTGTTCTTCTCTAGTGGCTGGTGAGCTTCAGTCTTAGTTGCCCTCAGCCTATTGAGTCTCCTCTTCTGCAAATTGCCTATTTATCCTTTGTCTAGTTTTTACCATGGTTCCAGTCTGTTTTCTTTTTGGTTTGTGGATGTGCCTTGTAGATTCTAGATATTAATCTCCTGTCTGTTTTCAATGCTGCAGATATCTTCTTGCAATCTATCTTCTGTTGACTTTATCCACAGGGCTCTCTGTGATTGGATATATGATGTCAGTGTAACGAAATTGATGGTTTTATTTCTCTTATGTTTTGTTTTGCTTTTCAAAGAAGTCTTTTCTTATTCTTTGATCATAAAGATCATCCAGCATTTCTTTTAGTAACTATGTTTGCATCTTCCTTGGCTTGGCCATTAATTAATTTTTTAAAAAATATTTTTTAGTTGTCAATGGACCTTTATTTATTTATATGTGGCATTGAGAATAGAACCCAGTGTCTCATACATGCCAGGCGAGTGCTCCACCACTGAGCCACAGCCCTATTGAATTGGGTCTTTATTCGAATGTGTTATCATGGAGAGTCCAGGTCTGCTTTTGTCTCCATAGAAAGACAGTTTTATCAACAGCATCCTATAAACAATCCATCTTTTCCCTTTTGGAATGTGCTGTAACCTTAAGTGAAATGGATTTTATCCTGGAACATAAAAATTACATTATAGAAAAAATGAGAATAGAACTGAAAGCTCTCAACATACAGAAGAGATAAGGGTTTGAAGAGATGGAAATGCTTATTTTATCATCGTACATTTTATATCTACACAGTGCTCCATGCCCAACCCTAGTACAAAGTATTTCTTAATTCTGACCCACGGGTCTGTTTGTCCTTCACTAATCCCCCAGAGCTTTATTTCCATGGCTTTCTAGACCATCACGATATCTGGGAATGCGATTTCCTCCTCCCCTCTTCCCTCGTCATTCTCAAGGATGACTTAATTTTTTCATGATCTTTATTCTGTCATGAAAGTTTTGTAATAAACATATCATCTTTCTCAAAAAAAATTCATCTGGATTTTTTGATAGGTCTTCTTTGAATGTGTAGATTAACCTTGGGGAAGAATAGTAAAAATTTTTTTACTATTGTATTCAAAAGTCATCTAGTTTTTAAAAAACTCTTCTTCCATGTTTTCTATTCATGAGAGGTTTAATTGAGCTCCATGGAGGTCTTTTGTGTTCTGTTCTAAATTAATTCCTAGATATTTGTTGATTTTGCTGCTATTTGGAATGATACTTTTTCCACTTTTAATTTTTTTTTTTTAGAGAGAGAGAGAGAGAGAGAGAGAGAATTAATATTTATTTTTTAGTTTTCGGTGGACACAACATCTTTGTTTGTATGTGGTGCTGAGGATCAAACCCAGGCCGCACGCATGCCAGGCAAGCGCGCTACTGCTTGAGCCACATCCCCAGCCCTCCACTTTTAATTATTTGCTAAGTTTGAACTTACAAAGAAATTGCAAATAGAATACAGAAAATCCGTGTACTTCCCTCAAAACTTCTCTTCTTGGCAGCCTCATATGTAACCCTTGTAGAATCACCTGAAGGTCAACAGTGATACAATACTTTTGTGCAAACACGTCTTACTTAAATATTGCCAATTTTTCTATAATGTCAATTTTATGTTCCAGGATACAATCCATCTCACTCAGTTGTTAATCAACTTTTCATTGTCATTTAGTTCCTTTTTATTTTTTGTATTGTTTTTATCGTTTAGTTCTTAGAATTTCTTTTGATTCCTGTCATTGGGGTGAAACCCAGGCCGTCACACATGCAGGAACTATCCACCGCTGAGCTACAAACCTAACCCTAGTACAAAGTATTTGTTAATTCTCCTTCTAGGCCAAAGATGGTTGAAGAATATATTACTATGGCAACATCACACAACTCAAGTTGATATTTCTGTTCTAAACATGAGAAATTATTCATATACCTATTATTTAATTCCTTTACTGCAGAATAGTCAGAGACTCTGTCTTCCTGATACTGGTATTTGAGAGTTTATCTAGAGTTTCCTCATGTCCTAACACAAGACTTTTCATAGGGCAAAATTCCATGTTCTTAAGTAGCATCTGTTCTTTGGTGTGGTAAAAACAAATGTGTGCTTATTTGTGTGTTTATATGTACATATTATAGAATAAATATAAACATATAATTGTACATATATATTACTTATAATATCTGGAATATGAAGTAAGATACCAGTTTAATTCCAAATCAAGAGTAATTACCAAAAAGGCAAATGGATTAAACTCACCAATGAAAAGATATACCTGTAGGTTGCTATGGTTTAGAAGAATCTGCGTGTGGCCATCTAGGCCTATCCTCAGTTTCTTAAGTACTTACACCAAGCTTACACTCATAATATAGGTACATTATGAGCACAATCTTATTTAATCTTGATAACAACCCTATCCATTTGAGATTGTTATCTTCATTTTAGGGAAGAGAAGACTAAAGTCACAAACATTCAGGATCCATTTAAAGGGCCCTCATCTCTGAAGCGGGGACTCAAGCTGGTTGTGGCTGGATAGATATTCTGAGATCCTATCTTTAGGATTTAAAATAGCAGTAATAACTATTACCAGTATCACTATTCCCTGAGTTCCTGCTGGGTGTCGTGCACTTAGGATGCATTATCTTGTTTAAACTCAGCACCTTATTCCAGCCAGCTCCCTGTGTCCATCTGTTCCACATCCAGGGATCAAAAATGTAGAAGGGCCTTTGATTCTTGTATCGGTATTGAACATGCACAGATTTTCCTCTTGTCATTTTCTCTACGCAATCCAGTGTAACAATTATTTCCATAGCATGGGTGTTGTATTGAAGAGCGTGGGTGTTGTATTGCATATTCTAAGTCATCTAGAAATGATTTAAAGCTACGAGAGGAAATGCACAGGTTCACGCAGCCCTTTCATGTAAGGGACCTGGTTATTTGTGGATGTTGACATATCGGGCATCTCAGAACCAATCTTGTTAACACATGGGACAGTTGTATAACAGTCTTTTCACATCTGGACCGACAATGACTGGACAGGTGAAGGAGCACCTCAGGGGTCCTTCTAGGAAGAACTCCCAGGTGACCCAGTGCTCCAAACACTGAGGCTTCTTTTCTGTCTCCTCTGTCAAGTGTGACTGCCATGTTGCGACTTAACCATACCCTCGTGTCGGAGTTCATCCTCATCGGCTTCTCCGCCTTCCCCCACCTCCAGCTGATGTTCTTCCTGCTCTTCCTGCTCATGTACCTCTTCACGCTGCTGGGCAACCTGCTCATCATGGCCACCATCTGGAGCGAGCGCAGCCTCCACACCCCCATGTACCTCTTCCTGTGCGCCCTCTCCATCTCCGAGATCCTCTACACCTTGGCCATCATCCCCCGCATGCTGGCTGACCTGCTCTCCGCCCACCACTCCATCGCCTTTGTCGCCTGCAGCAACCAGATGTTCTTCTCCTTCACATTTGGCTTCACCCACTCCTTCCTGCTCACCATCATGGGCTATGACCGCTACGTGGCCATCTGCCACCCGCTGCGCTACAACGTGCTCATGAGTCCCCATGCCTGTGCCTGCCTGGTGGCCTGGTCCTGGGTGGGTGGCTCTGTCATGGGGCTGGTGGTGACAATGGCCATTTTCCATCTCACCTTCTGTGGACCCAACGAGGTCCAACATTTCTTCTGCCACGTCCCACCCCTGTTGAAGCTGGCCTGTGGGGAGGATGTCCCAGTGGTGGCCAAAGGTGTGGGCCTGGTGTGCATCACGGCCCTGCTGGGCTGCTTCCTCCTCATCCTCCTCTCCTACGCCTTCATCGTGGCCGCCATCTTGAGGATCTCATCAGCAGAGGGACGGCACAAGGCCTTCTCCACCTGTGCCTCCCACCTCACAGTGGTCATCGTGCACTATGGCTTTGCCTCTGTCATCTACCTCAAGCCCAAGGGACCGCAGTCCCTGGAAGGAGACACCTTGATGGGCATCACCTACACGGTCCTCACGCCCTTCCTCAGCCCCATCATCTTCAGCCTCAGGAACAAGGAGCTGAAGGTCACCATGAAGAAGACCTTGCTCAGCAAACTCCTTCCCCAGAACTCTTGAAGAGGCTGGCCCTCCACAGGGACTGCTTGTGAGCAGTTCACTCTTCCATCTCCCTCCTCTCCTCCCTTCTCCTCCTCCCCTCTCTCCTTCCTTCCTTGTTAATGGTTATGCCGGCCGTTGCTCCCAAGCTTTTCAGCATTGATCATCTAGGTTCCATCTTTTTGGCACCTTTAATGAGATATGACTCATGTACCATATAATTTATTGTTTGAAGTTTTGTGCAGTCATCAGCACAGCCAATTTTGGACATTTTCATCACCTGCAAAAGGAATCCCTGATCCCTCCAATCATTGCTCCTATTTCCCCCAGGCCCTGACAACCACTAATATAGTCTCTCTTTGGATCTCCCTCTTGTGGACATTTCATAGAGGTGGAATCATATGATGCATGTCTTCCAGTGTTTGCGTTCTTTCACTCAGCATCATGTTTTCAGGGTTCATCCATGTTGTATGATGGATCAGTGCTTCATTCCTTTTCGTGGTTGTATGCTATTCCACTGTTTGGCTAGACCACATTCTGGTTATCAGCTCAGCAATCAATAGTCATTTGCTTTCTCTCTCTCTTTTGTCTATTATGAATTATGCTGCTCTAAATAATAATGTACAAATTTTTGCATGAGCATATGTCTTCATATCTTTTGCTATATACCTAAGAGTGTAATTGATGGACCATACAGTAACTCCGTGTTTAGTCATTTGTGGAACTGCCACAGTATCTTCCAAAGAGACTGCTCGTTTTAGATCCCCACCAACAGTGTTCTGATTGCTTCACATTCTCACCAATAACTTTAATTCCTTTCTTTTTCACTGTAGTCATCCTAGTGGTATCTTATTGGTATTTAATTTGATTTTTCAGGATTGAACCCAGGACCTTTCACATACTAGGCAAGCGCTCTACCACTGAGAAACCCAACGAGTAATGAGTAATGATAGATCTTAAGAGTTTAACGTATGTGTTCTTTTACTTTAAGAGGAAAATAGAATCAGTAGTTCTATTTTGAAGATGAAGAAACTGAAGTACAAAGAGATTAAGTCAGTCGCTAAAGTCCCGGCTGTGAAGCAGAAAGGCCCGGAACTTATTCTTTGAGTTGAAGAACAGGGATCAGAAGCACCCACTTCTCAAGGGGTAGGAGGGGGAAGACCAGGGAGGAAGGAGAGTTGGATTGGAAACAAGAGATGAACTCCAGCTAACACCAAGGAAATGAGCCCAGGATGAAGAAATACGTTCTTATCACGAGGTTAGGAAGAAATACCTACTGGGTGAGAATTAGGGAGACCCCTTAAGAGTTTGGTCAAACTGAACATCATGTTTCTGTTTTGTTATTTTTTAGTAGCTGAATTGATATGGAAAAGGTCATCATGTTTAAATACAAATTGAGTATAAACTATCCAAAGTGCCTGGGATTAGAAGTATTTCAGATTTCAGAATTTTTTTTTCAGATCTTGAAATATGTGCATCTACACATTGAGATATCCTGGGGATAGAACACGGGCCTCAACATGAAATCATGTATGTTTCGTACACACCACATACACATGTCCTGAAAGGAATTACCTGCAGTGTTTTTAGTCACCTGCACTTTGGCTGTGACCCATTATGGAAGTCACACATGGAATTTTCCAGTTATGACATCATGCTCCAAAATTTTGGACTTGGGAGCATTTTTCACATTTTGGATGTTGACAGAAGTTCAACCTGTATTGAGCTGTTTGCCTAAAAAAATTCCTGATCCCTTCTAAAGCCAGGTTCTTGGGTTACATTAGAAGTCCTGGGTAGGTAAGCAGCAATCCTGGGGACACCTTTCACCTTCCCTATGAAATGTGAAGTCCCACATGGTTGCCGCACAAGAGGGAAGGTGCAGGTGAGTCCCGGGGACAGCTGGTGCTCTGCAGTGGGTCATGGTTCCGCAGACAGCTTGGAACGTCCTGGAGGATGGGTGAGAACCACACTGTGTGACTGAAAGCTGAAGGTAAAGCTGGCTCCTGATTAACCCCAGAACCAGCACTGGGGTTCCCCATGGTTTCAGAGAAAAAGCCAACTTCCTGTAGTTAGGACCAATGTTAATGCCTTCTGAAATTAAAACAAACCTTATTTTTACTCCTTTACTTAGTATTAGTTGTTATATACATTTGAAACAATCAAAAAGGTTGGACTCAGTGATTATATGTTGCTTTTTTAAAAAAAAAAGTTTTTTTAATATATTTTTAGTTGTCAATGGAACCTTATTTATTTATATGTGGTGCTTAGAATCGAACCCAGGACCTCACGCATGCCAGGCAAGTGCTCTACCACTGAGCCACAACCCCAGCCCCTATATGTTGCTTTTTATAAGTAGCAAGTTCTAGACCTCTGGGTCAGAGTGTCGTGAGGGAGACAGGGTCCTATAAGAGCAGTATGTCAAATGTTCTATTTAAATGCTGATATAATGCTTTATCGCGGGGTTTTTGAAATTCCTATTGATTTAACATATATCAAATTATCACACTGTACCCAAAAATATGTATAATTTTAAAATATCAATTTTGAATGAAAAAAGTATTGCATTAAATATTATTCATCTTTGGTTGGGGATGTAGCTCAGTGGTGGGGCACTTGCCTGGCATTTCTGAGGCCCCAGGTTCAATCCCAAAGACCTTAAAAATCATATTTACCTCGTGTGCTGAATTTTGGGTGACCCCTTCAGTTGAGTACTTGAGGTGATTGCCTCGTTGCCCTCCAAAGGGGTAAAGATCACCTGCATTTTTTTTTTCCTTTCAAAGACTGAAAAATAGAAGTCACCATTAATTTACCTGGTGACAGAAAATAGGGATAAATGGCAAAGTCTGTGTAAATACAAACAGAATCTTGGAATGATGACCCCCAACCCACGGATGCTACAGAAGTCCCACTGGCCAGTCCCCCCGCCCAGGGGGGCCCTGTCTTCATCTCCTTGCACTAATCAGCTCCTCCTGTCTGAAGTCCCCAGTGCCTGCATTCCCCACTGTGTGCCCTTCCTTGCTAATGGTCTCCTCTGTGCCACATTCACTGGTGTCCCCAAGGCAGAGCCCAGAGAGGTGATTAGGGCACAGAGCATGAAAACAGGCTGCTGCAGACTTTCAGGGACACCCTCCCTGAGCTAACTGGAGCCCTGAGTCACAGATGCCAATTTCTGGGGACCATGGCCAGCTGCAGAGAGGCCACGCTCCGCCTTCCCTTGGCCCGCTCTTCCTGAGGAGGGAATTCCAGTCCCTCCTCAGGAATACTCTCCCTCTTATTCCAACCCCAAGCTACAAAGGTGTCTGTGCCCAGCAGTCAGAGGGGTCTCCCTAAAAGGGAATTGTTAAATGGTCCTCTTTTCTTAGGAAGTGGTACAAACTCTCATGCGGCCACCCAGGACACAGGGTCATCCCCTGCTCGGTCTCCACGTGCACTCTTCAGCCCCCAGCCCTCCCGTCCCTCTGACCAGCTGTGGCTAACCAACCACACGTGGACCTCAGAGCCCTTGTACCGACCCCACCTTCTACCTGGGACACTCCTGCCTATCCCTGCACACCCCTAAGTCAGCCCTAACTGTCACTTCCTCAGGAAGCCCTTCCCGACGGCCGCTGTGTCGCTGTCTCCATCACAACTTGCTCCTGCAACTCATCAATTTCCCTCAGAACTTTTGTCCCAATTTATCGTATGCATTAATTCACCACAAGATTCTCTGACTACCCCGTGGGGGCACTGGCTCCAGGCCCTCCCACAGAGAGCAAAATCAGAGGATGCTCAAGTTCTTCACAAAACTGTGTGGCAGTGTACAGGACCTGTGCACATACACCTGTAGGCTTTAAATCCCCACTAGATGACTTAGAATACCTAATAAAATGTAAACACTATGTAAATAGTCATTGCACTGTATTATTTGGGGGAATAATGGTAAGAAAAATCTGTATGGGTTCAGTACAGATGCCACTTTTTAAGATATTTTCATCCCCCAGTTGGTTGACTTGGGGGTGTAGCATGGCATGCTGAGGGCTGGTTCTGTTTCCTTCCTATCCTTGTTTTCCCTCTCAAGTGTGAGCACTGAGATTAGGGATCTTGTCTAAGTGGTTCAGTGTTATATCCCCTGTGGTGTCCAGAAAAGTACCTGGCACACAGTAGGTGCTCTGTCAATGTTTGTTGAGTGAGTGTGTGAGGTTGGTCATCTTTGGTCCTTCGAACAGGAGCAGTTGCGGGGAGGCTATCCTGTGTGCTATAGGACACTAAGCAGCACCCCTGTCTTTGGCCTGTGAGACGGTGTGGAACATCTCCACCTCTCTCAGTTGTAACCTAAAAGGACTCAGGAACTTGCAAAAGTCCCCTGATGGGGGGTAGAATTGCCCCTGGGTGAGAACCACTGATACGTGGATAAGGGAACACCTAGCTGACACATCTTAGGCCACAACAGGCTTGCCTCTGTCAGTACTCTCAGAATTTGGTCCTGCGATGGTTAATTACATGTGTCAATTGGACTGGATCATGGGATGCCGGGATGCCTAATTAGATAATTTCTTAGTGTGTCTGTGGGGTGTTTCTGGAAGAGATTACGATTGCAACTGATACACTGAAAAGTAGATGGCCCACCCCAATCTAGAAGGGCATCACCTAATCTGTTGAGGGACTGAGTAGAACATGAAAATCAAGGTTGGATTCATGCTCCCGCCTCCTGTCTGCATGAGCAGGGACATCGATCTTCTTCTCTCTTTGGTGCTCCTGGTTCTCAGGCCTGGAGACCCAGGTTGGAATGCTCACTCTCGGGTCTCTGCTCTTGGGCATTTGAACTGCAGCACTGTTTTTCTGGTCTTCAGTGTGCAGTTTTGTTTTCGTGAGACTTTTCAACCTCTATGATTACATGAACCCATATCTTATAGTAAATATTTATCTGCCTATCAACTACCTACATCTGTCTGTCTGTATCTTATTGTTTCTGGGTCTCTGGAGAACCATGACCAATACTGCAATATTAAAACATAATATTTCTGTGAGTCATTTCACCAAGCCTCCTGGGAATAACTTAAAGGTCAGGAACCATGACAGATGCCTCCCTGTGCCCCAAAGTGAACATAGGTCTTGAGATAGAGAGGCCACTGATACTTACTAAGGTAACATTGAGAAACTGGCATTTATTGGGTCTGTATGGATGCCAGACTCTGTCAACTGCCCTACACAGAAGGTGCTATTCAGTTTTGAGAACCATCCTAAACGTGTACACATTATTGTTAAAACCCAATTTAATGATGGAAAACTGATCCTACTAGATAACAGGTGATTCACCCAGGGGCAATCTGCTTTATCACTTAAGCAGTACACATCCCTACCTGCAGGTCAGCACTTCTCAGCCTCTGAGAAAGTAAGGTGTCATCTATCTCACTTCCTGTCAGCTATTGTCTTGGAGATGAGTCCTGGGGACACTTCACAGATGCTTGGAGTCAAACAGCAAAGGCAGTTCCTGGAGAAAGGGGTTTTGGGAGAAGAAAGGTCGGTCAAGACCCTCAGGTGGAGTGGCACTCTCCCGTGGTACCCCTGCTGATGCATAGCCTTTCAGGGCTATCCCACAACCCTGCTTCACTGAGCACCAAGACGAACATGTGGTACACAAAACCTTGATACCTAACAGGACTTCAAAGAGGGAGGGGCTCTGGTGAAGTACCCGGTTGGAGTGGGTTTAATGGTTGCCTTGTGTTCCATTGTATTAACGAGCCACCATTTCTTTAATAGCCCTTTATTCGTGATTTATCTCATGTTTTCCAGTCATAAATGTCACTGCTCTGAACACCTTTTTGTTTACACAGATGTGGAACAAATCTATGAGGCACTGACATAACCAAGTGTCTGTTCTAATCAGGAGTCAAGATTTGAACCTGGATCCGTCTGCCTGAAACATGCTTTCCCATGGCTCTGGGGAGCAATGAGATTTCTTAGTAAATACATAAGCAAATATTCTGGTTTGTTCAGTGGGGTGGGGAATTAATTAGTCCACCCTAGAAATATTTGTTCAGAATTGATTGTATGTTCCAACAACCATGCTGGTTCTGGAACGAACGAGGTGATCTAATGATGAAGCTTGCAGCCCAAGGATGCACAGTGTGGTGTGAGATATCCAGAGCTCAACTCACAGCTGGTGCCCATTCATTTCCCAGGTTCCCTATTCATTAGGACATCACTGGGCTCCGGGCCAGATGGATCTTATTTATTTTAAAATCATGACTCCTGAATTCATCAAAATTTTCCTCAGTGTGCCTAGGACGTAAGCTCCAGTACAAAATGGGTCACTATTGAGCTCCTGTGCCATAAAATAAGGATGTTGGGGTATTTGATTTGGAGAATGGACAGTCTCCCTGGAATTGGGATCCACAAAACCTCCTGTAGGAAGATACTGCATAAAGCCCTGAATGGAGAGGACATGGAGTCCACAAAGACCTGCATGACGCCTGGATCATCTGGGTCATGTGAACTTGAGTGAGTCACGCAGATTTGGAGCTTTAGTTTCCCCCTTTAAAATGGAGCATGTGTGTGGTTCTGTTTGTTGCCACATGAGGCTGTGAGGATATCCTGTGCCCCAGCATGAGGTGCAACATCATCCTGCAAAGGGGGCTTCTCTGGATTCCCCATTGTAACTGAAATTGTTGCCTACTTCCTGCCACTTGATGTCATCCCAGGATTTCTTTTTACTGCTAAAGAGAGAGACAGACTAAACTTGTACTTAGAACAAACGATGTAGTCTGCTATTCAACTTAAATGCGAAAACACCTAAT